TAAGATTATTAATGGAATTTCATGCATGCAGTTCTTTGAGCCACGAATGCATTCATTTAGCATCATCAAAAACAGCAGTGTCCAGGATCAGACGGGTATTGTCGTTCCGCTCTGAATGAAAGTGAAGAAGGTACGATATGGAACTATAGTAAAGAAAGAAAGGAAACGAAAGCACCGGATACTTATGAACCACAGTTCTCTCGCCTCCAAAGGATTTCAAGAAAAGGATAGCGAGGTAAAAGATACTGAAGGCCACGGAGAGTGAAAAGAGCCAATAATGAGAGTATGGGTTTGAAGGAAGGCGAGTTCAGTCTACAACGTCAATTCTTGGGCAGAAGAACGGTTGCTGGGTGGAAGCCCGTGCACCTAGCGGCTTAGTGATTTTGCCAGGCAATTTCGAGCCACGAGTTCGGTTTATTACCTATGTCTACCTTTCTCGAACGAGGGCTTTACACCACTGACCTATCCTGGGTTGTGCTTTAGTAAGTTTCCTAAATTCCATAGATAGGTCGCTTTCGTTTCTACTGGAAGGTGCATGCTTTTTGCTCATTCCTCTTTTCTACTTGAACATGCCTTTTCAGCGATATTTCTTTCATCTACTAACAAAAAATTACTTAGACGATTCTGGAGTCCTGACTGGTTTTCGATGATTAAGTGCTGTTTTTGACCGCACCCTGCCATGCGAAAGTTACAAGAAGAAGACTGAGTTATGGGCAATTTTAGTAGCCTCATTGGGAATCGAACCCCACCCCTCTTGCTTTCCTAGCAGTTCTACTACCGATCACACCACCGGGCATTGGCTTACTTTAGCACTGCTTTTTACGGTATGCTTACCTTGCTTATCCTAAGGAGAAGAGTTTTGCTCATAACTCAAGATTCTGGTGAAATTCTTCGCATGACGAAGTGCGGCCAAAAACAGCAATTAACAATCAAAAACGAGTCAAAATTAATATCTGCTAGAGTGTTCTGCCTTGCTTCTCACTGCCGATATCGGCTCATTAGGTTATACGTGTGATTGCTGATAATCTAGGAGAATACACCATTAAAACTGATTTAAAGGAGGACTCCACGGAAAGAACGAAGGTAGAGTTAGGGGAAATTGCCTAGTGGGGAGACCGGCGAACATCCTTAGGGTGCGGACAGGCACGGAACCGGCAAAGGCAGATTTGACCTCGAAGAGCTAGCAGGGCTCGATCTTGGCGGGTCCGCCTGTCTCCGCCCACCGTCTGTCTAATCACTCGCCACAGGTCTATACGCGGCGATTGATTGGATAGCGGAGAGAGCGTTGTGTTGAAGAGGGCACAGCGATGGGAGTCTCATCAATGCCGAGATCACGGCGAAAGAAAGGGGTCCCATTTCCCGGGTTCTGAGCCGTTTTTCATGGTTCCGCTTCTTTTCTGGTACGACTTACCATACCTACAGTAATTCGGAATGGGTTGAGTTTTCATCGTAAATTCTGCCTTAAAAGGCACGGATCGGGATCGGGAACACATGTTCTTTTATTCAGAGATTAAACAAGAAGTGCGACAGGAACACTTGTGGGGAGAAATAACAAAGAACGCCAAATTGAAATTTCTCTAGTGAGGTCCGCCGTGGTATGATGGAGAGACACAGCGCTGCGAGGAGAGGGAAAACACGAGCGAGCATGTTGTACGCGAGAGGACGCAAAAACCACGTGCGCCGCGATTATAAGGATGGCAACATGGTAGCACACAAGGCAAAGCCTAAGTGCCGTTGTCTCGCACTTTCAAGGCCTGCGCTTGAAGATCCCCCTTTCTCATTCAAGAGAGGGCTGGCTCTGGCACCCTACCTTGACCCGTGGCTTTAAGGCGAAAACGAGCCTTGGTGGTGTAATCTGTGGCACAGTTACCCAGAAAGCAGGAGTTTTTGGGTTCGATCCCCGCCTGGGGCAAGGGTTTGCCCAGACGGGAATCGAACCCTTCAACTTCTGGTGCCATCGATTTGTGATACTTTTAATAATAGTTTTGAAGGTAGTCAAACAACAGCAAACTTCCACAACGATCTTTTTTCGGCGGATTTATCTAGGAATATTTGAATACATAGAAATTTTTATGTTCAAATGCTATTGTGCAATAAGAGAATTTGAGAGGCGTTCATGTCGGTCGAGGGGATATTGAAGTGAGAGGACCACCTACAGCATTTGGGACCCAGTCATAGGGAGCGAGAGGATGTGAGCAACTATTGTCCCTGGCGTTTAGTCCCTCTCCGGACTCAGTTCCAATGTCTTCTACCGGCGGTATTGAACGCCGCTTTTTGAATATCCCCTCTACGGAAACGAGTGCCTCCAAAGAGTTGCGTGAACTCGGTACCTCCGCCCCAATCCCCTAGAACTTTCCGACCACTGGAGCAAATCGTTTTGAAACGAGTTGCCATTTTCCTCGCAAAAGGCGTCCAGTCTGTGTCGTACAGCCGGAAGAAATTAATCATGTGGACGGGAACGTGGCAAGCTGTCGCTTGAGAAATGCGTTGGAGCATAGCAATGGCTGGGGTTTTCCTATTTGGCTACATAGCATTTGAGACGTGAATTCCACGGGGAACCGACATCTCAAATGATACTCGCCCGCCTCTCGCTCACTCGTCTTTTATCTTCGGCAAATCTCGCGCCCTTCGTGTTTTCGGCTCAATGCGCATTTGCTGAGAGATAAATGAGTTACGGAAACAGTCCCAGCGATTAAAACGAGCGCAAATGCGTGAAAGCGAGCAGCTGGGGAAAAAAGCCAATTGAGTTGACGTTAGTGCATTCAAAAACTAA